GACAAGTGCTCTGCAGACCGAGGGCCCTGCTATGGAGTCAGAACAGCATGTGGCTCTAAGGTTTTAATTTTCAGTACCTGACTCTTGTCTTAACTTTCATGGATCTGCTTTTTCTCTTCTCATCTGGTGCAATTTTGCTGTAAAAAGCACACAAAATCCTAAAGGTTTTCACCTTTTAGCAAAATGAACCAAGCTGCCGGCACACTCTGGTTTCCCATTTGAACACAGATCTGCCAGGAGACAAACACTCCTCCTTCATTTTAGATTTTATATTTTACACTACAGCCTAATACTATATAACCAAAAGCTTTAGGTCATTTTCTCCAGTCTCTCTGAATTAAAGTGCTAGAACAGTATATTTTCAACAAACATGCCTTCTGATGGCTCTAAACCAGAATTAGTTGAATAGAGTAATAATATTTGAATAATCTTTCCAACTTTCCACATTAAAGTATTTACTCAGAACTAAAAAATACATTATCAAAGATGTTTGTGAATAATGATTTGACAGAAGTTTTAAAACATAAAAATAACATTGACAAATATTCTACCTTAACATGTAAAAGGGACAGAAAATATATGTGACTCTTTTTAGAAAACAGAGTTTATATTATTTATATTTTGGAGAATAAACATGATGGTTATATTAATTTTAACTCATTTTGAACTTATCACATTTAGATAAAAATCAAAATTGTCATATGATGAAACAGCATCAAGGTGGTTTTTATAACATTCTTCAATAACATTCTTCCTTGTTTTATTTGCATTGTCATTGCCAGTGAGTTTCTGACATGGAACACTTCAGAAATTCTGAATCTTGCCTAACAAGTCATTAAAACCAGAGTTTTAAAGCTGTGCAAAGCTAGTCTCCTATTTCCCTTTGCATGATATTCAGCAATTTTGTCTAATATTTAGAAAGCTGCAGTGCATGGAAGGAGGTTTACCAGTCACATCTGGCCCCCATCTTATCTTCTTTCCCTCCATTTTGTATTTCAATTCCTAAAATTCAAAGGGGGTGAACAGGTTAAATGAGAGCAGCAGAAATAAAATGCATGCATGTACAAACTCCATCTGCACAAAGAGCATTGCCCACACTAAGCCTTTCTCATGGATAAGAATTTGGGAATTAACAAGGGTTAGTAGCATTTGTTGTGTATTTGATTAAACCATGGAAGCTATTAACAGGATGATGCCCAAAGATACCTACTAATGGGCTATCAATTCCTGCAAGCCACAAATTAAAGCAGGGAAAGTGCTTAGAGAGAGAGAGAGAGACATGGGCAGTGTTTGCAGAAGCTGGCATGGTCTGTTGAACACTCCTGTCTGCTGAATAGCACTCTGTGTTTAACTGCAGCATCTTTAACAACTCAAAGCTGTTAGCTCTTGATTCTGTTTCTTAAGGTAGAAAGTGATTTATTTTCAGAAGAGATTACAAGGAGGTAGCTTTAATTTTGATGAGTTTGAGATGAAATCCTGTGGTGGATACAATGCATAAAAAATTAAAAATACAGCAGATTCCATAAATTCCCCATTTGTCTTTGATTTGTCAATATGATTATTCTTAGGCAATTCCAGTTTCTTGACTGAGTGAGGATTTAAAGTGTGAAACCTTTGTAGAGAGAATAACATTTATGGAGATGCGTAGCAGATGTAATTTTCCCCTTCTATTATTATTTTTGTAAATATTCACAGGAATCCAGCTGAGGTCTCTTTTATCTCTAAGAGACAAGATCTTCATAGCCCCAGGGTCTTGGTCCAGAGTAGTCTTTCTCTGCAGTTGCCTCTACAGTCATGTTATTCCCATGCCAGCTTCCTTCCCACAAACCTTCTTGCTTTGCACCTTGCAGAGCACTGGATGGTCCATCTAGGTCCTGGCTATCCCGCCTCCCTGCTCAGCAGACACAAATGGGGAACAGGAGTCTGCCTGTCCTGGGAGGTGGCATGCACTAGAGGAAAATCAGAGCTGAATTTAAGGATAGCTGGTGGATGAGTTAGGTAAATTCTCCCTCCCTGATTTGCAGCTCACACTCAAACATTCTGCACTGCTCTCCTAGCTTCTTGCACGTGGCAATAAAGTGGGTATTTATGACAGAGTCCTTGACTCAGCATAGCCTTAATTAACAGCTAAGATTTACCAGCCTTACTTGCTTGGTGTTGCCAACAATGAGGAATGCAAGGCAGTTAAACAGTAAACAGAAGTATTTATCAGATGGATCTCACTTGAAAAGGAAGCAAGTTATGTGTAAGACATGTCAAAGACACTAAAGCAGCCCTTAGTAAAGGAACATTACCACAGCCCCCTGCAGCCTGGGAATAACTCTTCAGCCAGCTCTGTACTATCTGGAGAAGGGGCAAAAGTACATCTGTAGAAGACCGAGCACCTGGAGAGGCTGTAGCCAGATCTTGTCTCACTGACCTGGTGAGGTTCCTGAGCTGCACAGAGTGTGTGCACCCTCTTCTCCTCCCACATGGGCAATATTTGCTACACAGGAGACATCTGCCCAGAATGTGCAGGTCTCCTCATTATAACCCCGGAGCACCTCAGCCCCTGCTGCTTCTCGTGCTGTCCTTTGGGGGAAAGCCACGCTGCCTGCAGTGTGCACACTGTCTAATTACACCTCCTTGCCAAAGGTCAGATTTTCATATGTGTGCTCAGTAATAAAAGCGTGCTAATCTCTGGCAAATAAGCCTTGATTCTCGTATTGGTATTTGTTTTACATTTTTTTTCCGTCCTTCAGAACGTTTGTTGCTTTTAGAATCAACCAAAACCACCCTGACAAATATTTGTCAGTAGTTTCCTCTGACAGTTTCCTACCCACAAATCTTTTGCTTCAGCTCCCTTTGGCCCTGCTGTGTCCTGCCTGTCTTGCAAGCTGAGCATTATTTTTTAGTTCTTTTCTTTGTGTTCGTGAAAATGGGCTTCCAGCTAAAGCAAATCTCCATCCAATTCAATTGCAAAAGCAGGCAGGGAAATTACACAACAGGTCTGCAATGCGACTCCATCCTCCCTCTAATTCCCTATTAACCTCAAGAGAACCAATTAATTTTTTTACCATGCTTCAAGTACATCCATTCTTTGGAAAGCTTTTTCTTGTTAATTGAGATACTGTCTATGTATTTTTCAACTTCAGGCCTTACTCCTCCCTCTTAATTTTTTTAGATAAGCTTCTTTTCTTAATCTACCCATTTCCCTCTGATCACCTCTTTAAAAGCAGAAGGGCCTCATTTAGCCAGCACTCACATCCAATATGAAAAACTAGATTAAAGCTGGGGTGTGCTGTAGGTTTATAGCACTTACCAGTATAGTTTGATATCAATATTTAACCCTTAGGCAACTTTCCATCTGTCAAATACATTAAGCTGCAGTGCCTGTCTTGTAATACACTTTTGTACTGACAGATGGAGTAAGAGACTCATGCCTAGAAACTGCGGTAGTGGTAGTGGTAGTGGTAGTGGTAGTGGTAGTGGTAGCGATGCAAGGGTCTGTCCAGCATTTGAACAATTGTGTCAGATGAACAGAGTATAGAAAACAAAGGATAAAGTTAAAAAGGTAAGAAATTTTAAAAGGTAAGAAATTTATTTTAATTTCTCCTTTGGGAAATGAAGCTTCATTAAAAACTAAACTACCTGAAAAATGCACTGCTTTTCATGAATTTCTACGATGAAAAGAATTGAAAAGCATTTTAACAATGTCAGTGTGATTAATTTGGATCCTTTTCAGAATAAATTTTTTCATGATTGAAACTGAAACCTCTTTACTAGGTAATTATCTTAGGGTAATGCATTTCAAATTTCCTGAAACAGCATCTCTTCTAGAAACTGTCTTTTAAGAAACTATAAAAAGTTGATTTTCTTCTCATTCAGAATGAGCACAATTTTCAAGGAGTCAGAACTTCCCTACATATTATAACTGGAGTGATGTTATAACAAAAATAATTTGAGAGTCTCAGTGGATATGATAGGAAAATTTAGAAATTAATTCCAAGGATTATGAATTAGTACCTACGTGCTCCCATCACCTCTGCACATGTAAAATTTTGTGGGAAAGGTAGTGCCATGTTATTTTTTCTGTGTCTTTCCAGAAGAAAAGCCAAGTGCTCTTGATCTCTCCCTTACTCTTGCTGATGTCTTAATACTGATGTCAGTGTAGACCTATATTATTGTAAATGCTGATTGAACCTGACTGTGTCACCATGTTTAATGCTGGTGACCTTCAGGCCACCTCACAGAAATGCTGGTGTAAAATGCTAAATATGTACCACTGGAATACATTACTGGGACACACATCAGAGCTAGGTACTTCATTATTAATCTTACAACCCATGAGTCACTGCCATCATGTATATTGCCACCAGTCAAACCTTCTGCACCTGGAAATCTGCTGATTCTGGGAACTTTACTAGCAGGTCATGGGACAGAGTAAAACACTGGCTAGTTCTGCTGCCCATACACTTTTAACAAATGAGGTTAAAGCTTTGCTTTGTTTCCAAAATAAGCAAATTCAAGCAAGCCTATAGAGAAGAAGGGTGTGATTAGTTGCTGATGATACTTGCACAAATTTCAGTTGTGTTAGCACATCTCCATTTACACTACAGCCACAGGTTTAGACAATTACCTTTTAATTATCAAGATGGTAACTGTTTATTCATTTTCACTATATATCAATTAACAGTAATAATGGGAACTGAGTTCTTATTGGACATTGTCTCTCTCTTTAACTCAGTGATCCTTTCCTTCTGCTCACTTTACTGACAATGTAACTCACATGAGGAAACAACAGCATAATGGAGAGTGCTGCCTATGAAATTGTCCCAAGCTAGCTACATTGGTTGGTAGCTGTAGTGGTTTCAAACTTATAGGTCTAAATGCAAGTTTTTGCTTTGGTTTTGTACTTCAGAAATAGGAATCAGAAGTATCCTTGGTACTTATGAAGTGGGTTTCCCTAATAAACTCTTTCTTCTCTTTCCCTCTTCTTCTTTCCCCCTTCCTTTCCCCAGGTTCCACTGACAAGTCCTTTGTCTACTTAGAAGACACTAGAAGAAGATTAATCTAACTAGTACTCATTAACAGCTCCATCTTTAGTTTGAAGGATGAAAGTGGTTCTTGATTGGGTAAGGAAGTGAGTATGAAGAAAGATCTTTGCATACAGAAGAAAGGGTCTGAGGTTGGAACTGGGATAACCTCTACATCCAGGTACAAAAATGGCTGCATGTGCTGGTTTGGAAAAGTTAGCTTCAAAACTAGAGGGATGGGATTTCAATTCATCAGCAAAACCCCTTGGAGTTAAGTCACTGCATTTTTGAAATACTGAAATTTAGCAGAGGATGAGTTTGGCAGCTGTACAAACTTAAAAGAAAAGAACAAAAGAATTTATACTTCCTTGTTGTACAGACAATTTTGCCATCAAAGCAGGCAAGAGATTTTGATTCCTCTCTTTACTTCCCTTTTGTGTGTATCTTGGAGGAACTAAAGTTTATAGTCTCTCAAACTGTACATCAACGCTGAAAAAAACCCCCATGGATTGGATGGTTTGGCAGAGGTTCTGAAAAAAAAATCAGTGGAAAGGAATTTGATGCACATTTGTTGGCATAGCAGTGAATATTAACAGAATTATGCATAGAAATATCCTCTGTGAGCAGGGAAACAGCATTAAGACACTCTGTTTCCCTCAGGACTTCATACTTAATCAGGGGCAAAATTACAGAAATATTCATTTTCTCCTTTGCTAAGGTTATGAGCAGGGTGCAGCAATCCTCACCGTATGGCACTCTTGTGAGACATGTTCTTCCCATCATTTCTGACTAAGCAGCTCCTGAATTCTCTCCTGTTTGTGGTCTCAAAATTCTGATCTCTTGTAGGCTTCAGGTGTACTTAGAAATTATAAACACATTATAAATACATGCTGAGTATTCTGAGTATTTCTCAATAGAGAAAAGCCCACTCTCTTGTATTTTTCTCTGTGGCTTCCCTTTCCAATGCCCTCTAGCAGAAAGAATAAAGCTTAGTAATTTATTTTTGGCAAGCAGCAAAGGGAACATTCCAAGTGCTGAATAACCTGAACTAATCAGATTATTTTAAGTATAAATGGCAAGAGAATCTAGATAAAACACAAGCACTTCTTTTATTGGATGGCTGTATTTGCACTGCTCTTTCTCTTAGGCTCTTCAGCCCTAAGTATTCCTACTGCCTTTTCCTTGAGTCCCTGGGCCTCAAGCTGGCTGTTTAAAGCTATACAGGTTATAAAGAGCTATAATTTTGCTAAATTATATCCATTTAAAGGGGGTAAACTTGCTAAGAAATACCTGGAGATGGGCAAAAGACAGATAGTTTTCATCAAGGTCTCACTCTTGGCCAAAATCTCTCTGGGTAATGCAATTAGAGTTGCTAATTCCTGAGGGTTTCCCAAGAGGGAACCTGGCCTAATTCAGGAACTGACGGAGCTGCACCCGCAGAGCCAAGTGGGAGGGAGTCTCACCTGCTGCAGTGTGTGCATCCATCCAACTGCCTGCCTGAAGCCAGCACAGAGCTGGGCCCATGCAGGGTACTGTAGTCTGTGCAATTTGCACTTCTTTCTCTGGAGTTATTTGCATTTTCCTTCTCCTAAGGGAAGGAAGGAAGCTAAGGGAATTCACAATGGACATATTTTCAGTGGTCTCAGAAGAGACTCCCACTCCCATGTCGCTGGGCAGTGAGAGTTCCATAAAGGATGAGTATTTGACAGGGTCCTGGGCTCCTATTGTATATCATACAGATAAAACCAACAGTTTATTATAAAGGGCAAAGATTAATAATATGCTCTCTAGGAAAATCTGATTGTCATGCTGGTATTCTGAACATGAGGCAAGGACAGACAATATACATTATTACGGGGTCATGATGGCCCTAAGCAGATTAGTTTCACTTTGAAATCTCTCTTAAAAGATACGTGGCATCTTTAGATTGACTGGCTTGTAACATTTTTAAAGGAGCCTTACTGCACGCTGAAGAGAGCTGCCAAAGAGATGTCCTTCAAATATATCTTTTGATTTTTGTGCAATTGTTAAACAAGTGTTTTTCCAGAAGCTGGCCTGTGTTGGCTGCCTAATAAAAGCTCAGGAAGTAAAAAAAAAAGAAGAATTTTCTGTTTTATTTTTAACCTTTCTCATTCCTTAATTAAAATCTTAATAATGATACAGTCCTTATTTTCTTTACTTTTTTTTTTATAATTTTTTTGGTTACCTAGGTTGAAAAGTGATGTCTGAAGTAAGCACCAGGAATAATCCCTTTGTGGCAGCTCCCCTTTCCTGAAGCTGCATAAGCCATGCAGACTCTCTAGCACATACTAGTTTTGGTCTCCTCTGCAGTTAAACAGGACTGTTTCAGTTCTGCAAAAACAGAACTGCTTCAGTTCAGAAGCCTGATAAGATTATTTCCTTTACAGGGGCTTCTTCTGTCTTAAAGTCATGTTCATTCTTTTAATTTTGAATTATGCTGCTGCAGAAATACAGGAAATAAAAAATAACCACTGTGGTAGCAATATTACCCATGCTAGTACAGTGTATGTTTAATTCCAAAAAGTCTGAAAATGGAGGATCATGTTTATGTGATAATCTGTATCTTAAAGCAGAGGACTTAATGCTGTACTGGCCATATATGCCAACAATGAGGAAGAGCCAAAAAATTTACCCATGTATCCATGTCCTAAGTTCCCCTAAAAGCAAAGATGTGTTAGAGACAGGCTGCTTGCCTTCCCTCAGTGTGGTTCTCCTCTCCTCTCCCCTCTCCTCCCCTCCTCTCTCTTCCCCTATTCTCTTGCTATGGTTTCCTCTTGCTTGAGCTCTGAGAAAGAAGAAATCTCTTGGCTGTGTAGTTTTCCTCCCCAGCTGACCAATTTTCTCTTCTTTTGCCCTCATGCTAAGGGCAGAGATGCTGTTGCAGACACAGTGGAGATCTCTTGCAGATCCCTGTGCTGCATCTGCAAGTATTTGCCACCAGCAGCGCAATTCCATCACTCTCCCCCAGGACAGCAGGCACAGCAGACCCTGCGGCCACACTGATCATTTCCCTCCTGTTGTGTTGCTTTGAAATCACAGCTTCCCTCTTCAACTTTGTTTCCAAACCACAGAGATGGTTACAGTCTGTGGGAGGGCAGGAAACATGGGGAAATATTCTGGGGCTTTTTACATGTACTTTGTTCTGAACTAAATGCTGAGATGAAGAGGACCTGTTCAGCATCCACTCAAATGTGCTGTACATCCACCACCAGCCACAGGTGACCTACTCCAGACTCATCTTAACAAACTACTTCGAACCAGCTGGTTTTATGTTAACAAAAGGAAATACAGGCTAAAAATGTGAATCTACTTTCTTAGGAGTTCTGGGTGAGCTGTGAATCCCACAGCTGTTTCCAGGGGTGGCAAGCACAGCCTTTTCACATTCCCAAAGGAAGGAGAGCTTCCTGTGCTCTGAAAATAACCTCATCAAAATTTTGCACATCAAAGCATATAATAAAGATACTGGGTGCTTTTGTTAAAAAGAAAAAAAAAAAGGAAAAATAGAACACTTCTCTTTAAAGCTCTCCTTTTGCTGAAGTTTCTCTCTCCTGTGTGTTTCCTTGGGACTTGTCATTATTTCCCACCATCAATCAATCATACTCCCCAGTGAATCAGCTCATCCACTCATCTTCACCTCCCTGCAATTTCCCAACGAGGTTAGAAACAGCAAATTGCTGTAATGTTAAGTAATAAACCCCAACCTTTTTATGACTTGGCTGTTGCTTATTTTTCTCTAGTGGATACCAATAAAATAGAAAGAGCTCCCTTGAGCAGCACATCTGAAAAGCTGGAATGCTTTTAAGTGCGACAGGTTAGAAGAGGTCTTCAGAGACAATCTCTGGTACTCTCTAAAATGAACTCCTTGAGGAAATCCTAAATAATTCTGCATAATTAGAAACCTTGTAATTGGATGCAGAAGAGTTACAACTACTTTATCACCTCTGTTGAAGCAGCCTTCTGTTACACAGAAGGCTAAGTAAGCCTGACTGCTTCTGTGTCTCCTATTCTGCATATGCAAAATCTCTGATGCCAAAGAGGATAATTTCTTCTACAGCTACTGTAATGTCCTATTGAATCAGATCAAGTTTTCAGCTATGTAACTACTTGTGGTATAGAATTTTATTAATCTCCCTCCTCCAGTTTGTTACCTGTTTAGAGAAATAATTCCTAATGATGGGGCAATAACCTGAAGAAGAGGCAGGGAGGGGAGTCAGGTAACATGGCCCTTAACCTTCTCCTGGTCCATCCTTCTTTAGGCTCTTCCAGCATGCACATGGATTCAGACACAGTGCGTGAAGCCCCACACACAACACAGTCCCCAGATCTAGATAAGGGTTGGATCCAGCCCTGTTTGTGTTTG